ACAACCACCGACACTGATGAAAAAGGGCATACCGAGAGAATTTGTTGACATTGCAACCAACACAGATACTATTGCTACAGCAACCAGAGAGACGCAAGAAAAGTTATACAATGATGCAAATCAACCATTAAATATGACATTTGAAGCATTTAAGGTAAAGGAACACCAAGACAATATGTTTAAAATAATGCTTAAAAACTTTTGGCACAACACATACAAAAGAAATGAGCCAACAAGAACACAGGCAACACAAACATTGAAAAACCAACGCGACGCAATGGTGTCAGCCTTTACTGAAATGCTTGACAACAACAAACCGCCAGAACCACCGCCAAAGAAACCACCAGACGAGGATGACAGCGATGAAGAAGAAAAGAAGTTCAAACTGACAAAACTGATAGAAATAATGCTACACAACGGCGCTACAGTAGCAGATATCATATTAAACTTATCACACAGCACAATTGCAACAACAATAAATATTGCAGATTTAGTTAATCAGATAACAGCAGGACATGCACAAAGTAGCAGTAGCAATTCATCAAATGAAGCTATTAGTGTTCATAGTTCTCCACCTATTACTGTTCATAGTTCTTCATCTGAAAGTCCAACAGAAATACCAGCACCAACTGAAGACGAAGATTCAGAAGAAGAAGAAAAACAAAAAGATAGTTTTGAAAAATTAAAATCTAAATAATATTATATATAATGGGTTCAAGTAAATCAAAACCAGTAGAAATTGATGATGAAGAGGCTATTAAAGTAATAAAAGATATAGATGTAAATACGATAAGTGAAATGTCAAGAATTGATATTCTACAAATAAATTCATTGAAAGCAATAATCAATAAATTAGAAAAAGTTAATGAATGTAAAAAAGATAAAATATATCATAAATTACCTGCTTTGAATTTATGCAGTTATTCTTTATTTTGAATTAATAATATTAAAACATAATTAATATTATTAATTGCTTATACAACTTCTTTCACTTTTTGGCGTTGATGTTGAAACAGTGCTATTTGTTTCATCTATTAAATGTTCTTCATCAACAAAATTATTTTGAAATCTTAATAATTCCTCGTCCGTTGCCCTCCTCTTCAATGCCTTATAAAGTTTATGTATCCAAGAATTAGTATGAAAATTATAATTACCTCTACGATACAATCCACCACATCTACATAGTTTCATTGGCATATTATTATATTATATTAAGTTAGAATATCTTTATTCATCATTTGTAATTTGAAATGCCTGTTCAAAATTGATATGAAACATTTTGTTAATGTCTTTTGAATTCATGTTCACGTAGAAAAAAGAATATGGAGCAAAATTAACGGCTTGATGGTACATATCTAATAATTGCTGTTTATCAACAATGGCGCTATTTTCTTCAATAAAACTCATTAATTCACTGGCATTTTTCAACCTAAAAATATATAATGAACTGGCATTCAAACGAATGATAGGCGCTAAAACATTGTATTTTTGTGTTGAACAAATCACACTTACTGCATCGTGCCTGCCTCTTGTAAATAATCCATGTAATAATTTACTATATCTAACAAATTTAGGGTCGTCTGCGTGGTCATCTATCACGATTAATATTGAATGCAGTTTCTTTATCTTTTTAGATTTCATATAATTAATTATTTTCTTCTGTCTTTCAATTACATTTTCTAAATCACTTGGATTATAATTATCAAAATAAATTTTCTCTTTTTCATCATCCACGTGCAATTCATCCCTGATATATTTTTTAACTTCTGTAAATGTAGGGTCGTTATGGACGCTGGGTGAAAATATAAATATTCTTGCAAATGAATTTCTATAAACATTCAGTATTAAATTTTGAATAAGGACAGTCTTACCGCCTGTCGAAGAAGCAACTATAATACTTCTAAATGGTAATTTTGGCACGTGCTCATATTTAGATTGTTTGAATTCATATTCGGTTATGTTTATTGGTTTTATTATTGGAACATCTGTCATAGTTGATATTAAAGATATATAGAAAATTATATTTAAAAATTAACTTGTAATTAATATTAAATGGACGTGAGGAACGAGCCTCGCGTGCTAACGCGACCATCTTTTTTATGATATGCTGGTGGCGAATATCATAAAAATGGAACAGGTTTTTCCATTGCTTCAATCAAATAAGCATTGAAGCTAATTAGTTTGTATCTCGCTCGCGTGTGCAATGAAAACCCCAAGTGCTGTGCCCTCCGAATATTCTATCATGCATGAAAATAATAAGATTAAATAATTTAAATAATTATTTTATCTTATTATTATATGACTGTTATCCATTGCAATTGTTGTAAAACTTATGATGACAAATATTTATTTAAACATCTAAATTCAAAACATCATCAGAAATTTGTAAAATTCAGATGGAATAAAGACGATACAATGAAAAAACTTTACAAGAGAAGAAAGACAGAAATTAAAAATAATTTATCTTATTATTTAATATGAAAAGGAGTTATTCAGATTATATTAATATAATAGATGAAATGGAGAATATAGAACAAGTACTAATAACTGATAATAGATGTAAAAAATATGTTATTTTATTTTAGAATTAATTAAGTTTTTGATACAATATATTAAAAATATAAATATTAATATAAATGCCAAAAAAGAAAAACAAAAAGAATAAGACAGGTTTAAGTGTTTCATCAACTGATGAAGAAATTGTTAAAGAAACATCAGTTATTGAGGTTGTTTGTCCTATGTGCAAAAAGATGTTAGAACTTAAAAATGAGTTAGAAATACAAAGGAAGGGAAATTGTAAATGTAGTTGTGTGCCAGTTGGTTTTAAAGTAAGTAAAAATGATAAGAAAATGAATATTGATAAAACTAAAGACAGTATCAACTTAGAAACTGATGTCCATAATATAACTTTTAAATTTGGTAGGCAAGCAACACCATCCGATAATAATGAAAACGAAACACAGGAAACTGTTAAACAAATGATGAAAAATATATAACTAAATAAATAAATATCTAAATAAATATATAGTAATGTCTGAAAATGAAAATTATACTATTAATGATTTAATGAAGAAGATAACATCAATTGGTAAAAATATCAAAAACTTAAATGATATGATTAAATCCATTGATGACAAAATGAAACCAGTTGAACGCGAACAACAAAGCAACGAAGAGAAGGAGAAAATCGAAAAGATATTTCAAGCAAAATCTATAGGAAGACCATCGGGCGACTACCCTACAAAGCAAAAGAAATACTGCGATATGTTGAATACAGGAAAATCAAACAACCAAAGCAACAAACATTAGAGTTTTATAAAATTACAAAACATGATGATGGAGTATATGTATTATTTGAATAATTAATATCTAAGTAATTCTAATAAATTCATATTATTAGAATTATTTAGCAAGAAGACCTATATAAAATACCTAGTGAATTAATTTGTGAAATCTTAGTGAGTTTGACGGATTAAGGATTTTGAGTTTGGGGTTGGGCTTGAAACTTGAAATTTCTAGGTTCATCCAACGACAACACAGTAAAAAATAGGAATTCTAAAAACTTGAAAATGATAGATGATGTAGGCAATATCCATAGTTTAGAAAATAAATAAAACATCAAACATCTAATGGATTTGGGGGTTTTGGCTACAAGTCGTTCGTCCAGCAACAAAAAAAATGTGTCTGCGGTTCAAGGCATATGTTTCAGATTTTCGGAGCATATGTCCCAGATTTTCGGAGCATGTGCCCATGCTGTTGTGAGCATATGCCCATGCTACTTTAAGCATTTTCTACTGCTAGATTGGACACTTCCACCAAAAGAAGTCTAGGGCAGTTGTTGTGGAAGTTTAGGGCAGTTGCTGTGGAAGTTTAGGGCAGTTGCTGTGGAAGTTTAGGGCAGTTGCTGTGGAAGTTTAGGGCAGTTGCTGTGGAAGTTTAGGGCAGTTGCTGTGGAAGTTCAGGGCAGTTGCTGTGGAAGTTTTGGGCAGTTGCTGTGGAAGTTCAGGCATCACACCCCTAAAATCCTACAAGGGACGCCACGCCCCAAACAAATATATGATAAAAGTGATGAAACGAAGGAGGAGAGTGATGTTGTTGCTGTTCTATTTCTTGTCCGGGAAATGGACAAATCGTTTTTAGACAGTTCGAATATTTTTTTGATGACAAATATTTTTTGCAATATATTTTGCAAAATTTATTTTTTTGAAATGGATGAGGCGAGGAGATTGAGGAAATGACATTTTGGAGGGTAGTTGGTGAAATGAATGAGGCGAGGAGAAAGGAGAAAAGGATGGCGAAAATTTTGGAAAAATGATGATAAAAAAACGGATGAGATGGACAGAAAGGAATGTAGAAAAATGATGAAAACAAATAAGGTTAGAAGATGGAAGATGAAAAAAAATGTAGGGGGGGGTGTATGTATGAAGCAATTTATTTGCGGGGCGAGGCCCTCGACTACTGAATCAGGGGAGGGGTCCAGGAGCTTCTTGCCCTTGTGAGGTCTGCTCTGCAAATTTTCGCATGCCTGGAAACGGGGGTCCGTTAGACATGATGGGAGTAAGGGTACTCCAGAACCGTTTTGAGAAAAATCCTCCTGAGATGCCTGGGGTGTAGTTAGAAGCTATGTTGGAGGGTTGTTTGAAGGGGGCGTTAGCCCTGTCTATTGAACGGGCTTGCCATCTTGAGGGCAACGAAGCATCGGTAGATCCTGCCTTTCGATTTCAGTTGAGCATGCGCCCTTAAATGACAAGGCGGACCAACTCGTGGAATTGAACTCGGCTCTGTTGCAGCTGTTGATTCACGATATCTCGACACATGGGATTGATTTTTGGTTGTGGACCCTTGGACATCAGAGAAATTAAATATTTATGTCCGCCCTTGCAATTTTTGAGGGGTTCCCTGACTATTGAATTCAAATTGTTAACTGGAACTGGGGACCCCTGGCCAGCTTCCTTCTTGCAAGGCCAGAGATATGCGATCCCTTCCGAAATCGATCCAAGGATCCCGTGGATGAGAAAGGCAGGGATGGCGCCACGGAATTGTCGACTTGGCATCCTTGCCGCCTTGAGCAAGGAAAGCCACGAAAGAAACATGGCTGTGTGTCTTTTTGAGAGCACCCATTGTAGGTTGGCTTAAAGGGGCACCAAAAGGAAAGCCACAACTTTATTTTGAGAGTCCGCCCATTTTGGCCCACTGGAACGGTTCTGAGACCTCTTCTAGGGCACACCGTTTAAGAAGGCTCTAACCGCCTTTTCTCAAGCCGGGGGTTTGCTTGTGGTTCTCGCACGGCTATGTGCAATTCCCTTATTTTGGCGATTTTGGCTTGGTCATCCCTTACCCACATCTACTGAGAATCGTGGGTGCGCAGCTACAACTTCAGTTTGGAGGCCTCGAGGCGGCGCAGAAGGTCTTAGATTCTTTGAAGCAGCACCTGGCGCCTGCGCCACGGCCCACCTACCAAGGACCAAGGGGGACGCGCAAAGCACAGGTTGGGGGCGCTTCGAACCAGGTTTCCAATGAGCTGCCATCCTTGCGTTGTGAGTTTGTGAGTATCAATTCAAGAATTGAAAGATTCTGCAGCATATCAGGTCTATCTGCAACTCATGCAAGCTGCCTGCTTTTTGTGGGGGATGTTATGCCCGCTGCCAATGCTTGCCTACATTCTGACGGCTCGATTCTTCTTGGAAGGGAGCGGCACATGTTTTATATAAATTTAGACTATCGTGCTGCTTTGTTTGCTCCTGTTTGTGGCACGTGGGAGTCAAGCGACAACCTTCTAAAAATCCACGAGGATCAATTCAGGGTTGACATAACCTGATTCATTTTTATCCCCACACGCTGTTGCGAGGGGGGGGGGCGGGGGGGGGGGGGGGGGGGGGCCACACGCTGTTGCGACTGGTTCCACAGCACCAGCAGCAGAGACGAGTGCCCCGACGCTCATCAGGGGCGAGCAAAGTCCGCGCTTCCTTTTGAACACCCCAAAATGGCAATGTTGCCTTCGGGTCAATTTGTAGGGACCCTCCTAAAACGTATCATACAATTTCATTATGACCCCCCTGATTTGCGTGGTCCTCTGGATTGCTCCGAGACACACGCCCGAACAGTGGCGGTGTGTTTGTCCGTGGGTTCAGGACCCACCGGTGGCGGCGGTCTGCCGGCACAGATGCTGGCAGGCTACGAGGACGAGGAGGAAGCGCCCGGTGAAGCGCGAGTGGCGAGGACGGGCTCGGTCGGCCCCGCCTTTTGGAAGGATCACACAGCTTATTGAAGAAGTTGTAGTTTTCCGACCCCCCCAAGTAGAAAATAGGTAAGCCCACTTCGGTAGGAAAACATGGACCCCAGATGTTGGAGCCGCCCCGCAGGCACAAAATGGATTTGACAGTCTTTGACCCTCAGAAAGTTGCAAAGGGGGTCTTTTTACAACTGCGCTTTTCCGATCGTTTTGAAACGCGTGGGTCTGATAGTCTTTCGCTCCCCGCCCGGAGGCGCTATGTCCGTGTTATCTACGGTTTCCAGCGTTTCCACGGATTCTAACGGTGTCTGTTGCTTCTACGGATTTTTTGGTTTCTACGCGCTTTCTGTTTTTCTTAATATGGTTTCTGCGGTTTCAATGGCTTCTGCGGTTTTGACAGTTTCCATGATCTCTGGTTTTTGAGGTTTCCATGGCGTCTATGACCGCGGTTTCTATGGTTTCTCTGGCGTACATGGTTTCCGAGGTGTCCCATGGCTTCTATGGCATCTATGATTTCGCGGCTTCTTTGGTTTCCGTGGCTTTAATGGTATCTATGGTTGGCCATGCCAGTGTCTTTTGCTTCTGAAACAGTCACACGCTGCCCGGGTTTGCAGAGGGGTTTTGTTTGTTCAGTTGTTTTGACACCGTGGGGCCAGAGTGTGTGCCGTTCATTTGGTCCGATTTGGTCTTTGTGCGTATCCTTTGCAATTTGCAAAAAGAAGGCCAGTTCCGAGCCAGTCTTATGTATTGCACAACGATGGGCGATTTCGGCCTATGTGTTGGAACATGATCGAAAATTAAGGTCGGTGTGTTGAGACATGATCGCTAGTCATGTCCGTGTGCTGCAAAAAGATTGCAACGATCGCGAATCTGTGCTCTAAAATGACGGGCCTCTCCTAGCAATTGGGTTTGTTTGTTGATAGTGGATCCCTAAATGGGTGGCGTTCCTTTGGCTTCCGTGAAAAACGCACTACCCATTTGTTCCAAGATGGAGGTTTGCTGCGAGCCCAAAAGTGGGGCCCGGTTCTGTTTGGCATTGGCCCGAAGCCAAATCCGAAAGGTCACGGGATCCAAGCAGGGGTTCCAAAAAAAGGGCTCCGATCGCCACCGCATCCAACAGGAAGCCACCTGTTTGAGTGCATTTAAAATGGGTCACCCGAACAGGGTGGCTGAGTTTCAAACAAGCGGAAATCAAGCAAAACAAGAAGCAACGAGCACTTTAGAAGAGAACTGTGCAACCTGAGCTCCTGCTTCAGAAAACGAGCCGAATAGCGAGAGACAAACTTACATGGGCATACAGAGAGGTGTCCATTTCGTTGCAAGTTCCTGAAAGGATGCTTTTAGGCTATTTTAGAATCCAAGATGGCGCCACTCGAAGAGGACAAACCCAGAGGCCTTAACAAAAAGGTTTCCATTTTTCGCCCCAATCCCTGCGAAGTCGAAACAAGGAGCAGGCCTTCAGGCCCCGCGCTGGATGTCAAGAATCTGCGGCCGGAGCTCGTGCAAAAGAAGATTATGGAGGTGGGCACTTGAAAGCCAAATCCGCTCGCAAGTCGAACAATTCAGGGGCTCAACAGGTTCTCATATAAAAACTGGCTCCGATCGCTTGCGCCAAAGGGCAGTCACGTGGCATCCAAGGGTAGCCATTTGTTGGAACTCATTTGGTCACCCCATTTTTTGCAGCTTTAAAGAGGCGGGAAGTTTCAGGCTGCCCCATATCTCGCAAGAGCAGGGCCAGCTTCCAACTGGCAGCCGAACTATGCTTGGTTCAGCGCCGATCCACACCATGAATGTCCAAAGGCTACCTTCCACTTGTTTGTCCATTTTAGATCAAGGTTAAACAGGTCATGCGACCTATGATTTTGGAATATTGTGGTTCACCATCGATTCATTGCATGATTCTTTGTCCACTGGCGGGCCTGGAAATGCCAGCCAGTTCGTGGCTCGGGAGTCGAGAGAGGACTTGTGTATAGCAGGCTTGTGCGGAGGCAGCTCTCAAGTTTTGAAGGTACCCTTGTCGGGTTGGCTTAGGCAAGCCAATAGGAAAACCACAACTTGTTGAGTCCTATTTTGGAAACAAACCCAGCGAACAAAATGCAACTCTTTTGGCTGTATTATTGCTAAGCCAGGTTGCCCTGGCTTTGACGGGAGCACCGGAGGACGAGATTCAGGTTGGGCCAGCGGGAAGTGGAAAGCTCCCCATTGAGAGATGCGGACCCCTTTGGTTTGTAACAGGCCCAAAACAAGGGGCCCTCCAAAAGACGCCGATTTCAGCCTGGCGTCCGAGCAGCGGCCGAGCATGCTTGGTTGGCCCCAAGGTGTCAGGCAAATTGAGCCAGCTGACCGGCTGCCAGATATCGCTAACAAAATATTGCATTGGGCAGAAGGCCGCTGATGGTGGCTATCCCTAGTATGAGCAACTGGTTCATGAGCTGATTCGCCGCTACCGAAAAAAAACTTAAGTTGCGCCAAATTCTCGTTTTCCCCCAAACGGTCTGCCTACAATAAGCGCTCTTATGGCAAGTGTAAAGGCCAGTCATTGGGGTTCTCTTCAGAGGCAATCCTCATTCCTTGATTTGGGTCACGCAAGGAGTCCCCTTTGTAATGATTTTGGGGTTCACGATTAGGATATTGGCCCCAGCCTTCCATTTTGAACAGCTTTGTTTCCCCAAACAGTTTACTGTGAGGGGTTCTAATTTCATTTAAATTGACTCGCTTATTGCCAAGCCCTAGCCTGGATGCCTGGCACAGCTCTCTTGGTGGACGGGTTCGTTTTTCTCCCTTTGCCTCCCTTCATTTGTCTCCCGTTGTCTCCCAGCCTGGATGCCTGGCACGGCTCTCTGGTTGGACGGATTCATTTGTCTCCCGTTGTCTCCCAGCCTTGATGCCTGCCGCGGCTCTCTGCGGATTCATTTGTCGCCCGTTGTCTCCCATCCTGGATGTCTGAGGGTTCATTTGTCTCCCTCTGCCTTCATGTGCCTCCTGCTGGTGGATGCCTGGCACGGCTCTCGGGGTGGACTTGTCTAGCCTGGGTGTCTGGCACGGCTCGGCTCCCTTTGTCTCCCTTCGTGTGTCTGTCGTTGCCTCCTCGCCGTGATGCTTGGGCTCTCTGGGTGCACGGATTCATGTGTTTCTCGTCTTTCAGTCTGGATCTGGCAAGGTTCATTTGGTCTCGCTTTTCCCTTCATTTGTCTCCCGTTGTCTCCTGCATGGCCGGATTCATTTGTCCCCCTTTGTCTCCCTTCATTTTTCTCCCGGCAGGGGGTTCATTTGTCTCCTGTTGTCTCCCAGCCTGGATGTTTGGCACGGCTCTTCGGGCGGATGTCTGACGGGTTGGATTCATTTGCGGTGCTCAGAAACGTGTGTTTGAGCGCGCGCGTGCGCTTAATGAAGCCACAGGATGCCACAGGCAGCATGCTGCGGAGAACCTGTGCTTCAAGTGAATGATTGTGTGTTCCTGGTGTGTTCCAGCTGACCACTGACCACATCGCGTCGCAGTCACTTTGTGCAGTTTTTTATTCACACAAAGCGGAGTCCTGCAGATTCCAATGCATTGCCCGCTCCCCACTGGAGGCGCTTGGTTTGCGCTAGGGTCTTTGGTGATTTTGGTTGCCAAGAGTTGGCGCGTGATGGGCTTTGTGACATTGTGTGGCTTTCAAGGGTGTAGTGTCGCAGTTCTTACTTAGTACTTGAAGCCGCACGTTTACCTTCATCTTACGTGGCCTTCATTTGTCAAATATCCACAGAAATGGTCGCCGTGACTCCAAAAAACACGGCGAACCCGCTTGGTCAGCTGTGACCGGTTCCCAGTTGCGCCTCGCGTGCAATTACCATGGAACGCGATTTGCTGGACAAAGGGAGGAAAAACGGCTGAGGCAAGAAGGCAAGGATGCCTTGTACCCAGCATACGGGGTGCGTATTTCCATGCGAAAGCAAATGCTTTACTGAAGAGTTGCCACAACACAATAAAGGCGCTTCAGAGCGTTCTATCGAGCAACAGATTGCTCGATACGAAAGACACTGCGCAGCTAAGCGAGACAGAAGCCTGTAAATGCTGGAGACGCATCCGATATTGATAGTACCAGCAGTAGTAGCAGCAGCAGCAGGCCCGCGCGCTAGCAACGTGTTGCAAAAAAAGCTAGATTGACTGCACACAAACACTATTTCCTACTTGGAGCACGCATAGAAACACACGCGTTGTTCAAGGCAGAGCCGCATGGAATAACGCCTCGCAGCCAGGTTCGGGAACTTGATTTATGTGTCGCCCGGGCGTGCAGAAAATGTAAATTCCATGTGAACACATTTTTTGTCCAGGTGAACGCATGTGTGTTGTACATTTGTGCGTTTGTGTTGCACATGCACATGTATGTGTGTTCATGTGTACACATATGTGTGTTCCACGTGTGCACATTTGTGTGTTCCACGTGTGCACATTTGTGTGTTCCACGTGTACACAGACGTGTATTCACGTGTGCACACTTCTGTGTTTCAAACACGTGTTTGCGTTCCGTGTTTGTTGGCAGACGAACACTCGTGTGTGTCTGTGTTTTCCACGTGCGCACAAATGTGTGTGTTCACGTGTGCAGTACTCAGTACACGTGTGCGTGTTCCACGTGTTCACATGTGTGTGCCCACGTGTGCGCGTTTGTGTCTCCCACGTGTTGAACACTCATGTTGAACACTCATGTGTGTGTTTTCTTGGCGCACATAAATGTGTGTGTTCATGTGTACGCAAATGTGTGTTCCACGTGTACACATGTGGGTGTTCACGTGTGCACACATGTGTGTTCCAATTGGACACGTGATTGCGTTCTAGGGGAACACATGGTTGTTATCAGATGAGCACACGGGTGAGCAGGGCGCCCTTCCTGCGCCAGCGGGACGCCGAGGGAACCTGTCATCACGTGCCCAAAGGCGAGGGCTGTGAACAAGGCGATGCCCTGGCCCCGGTTCTGTTCGCCCTCGCGCAGCATGCGGCGCTTTCGACAGCCGCAGCTCCAAGAAGGCGAGCTGCTGCTCGCTTTCCTCGACGATTTGTATCTTGTAACGCGCCCAGAGCTCGTGCGGGCAACCTTTGACCTAGTCGCGCGCTCTGTCCAGGAGCTAGCGGGGGTCGCCGCAAGCCTCGGCAAGACGCGCGTTTTCCAGCGCGCCCCGAGGACTGCGCTGCCAGGGCTTGGCCCTGCTGTGTGGCGGGCAGACCTACCACCTGCCCAGCGAGGCCCTTGTCGTTCTGGGGACGCCCATCGGCCACCCGGACTTCGCTCGGGCCTACCTGGAGCAGCGCGTCCAAGAGGAGCCGCGGTTGCTGCGGGCGTGGCTGCTCCTGCTAATGTGCTTATCCCAAACAAACCATCTTCTCCTACCCCCCCGTGCGTGGTCCCCCGCCCCCCCCCCCCCCCCCCCCCCCCCCCCCCCCCCCCCCACCCCCCCCCACGGCCCCCCCCCCCCCATCTTCTCCGCTCGCTGCCACCATCCCTGGTAGCGCCATATGCCGAGGAGCACGAGAAGGCGGTGTCCAGGTGTGCACATGCATGTGCTCCAGAAAACGCATGATTGTTTTCGAGGTGCGCACATGTGTGTGCGCCTGGACACAAAGCGTGTTCCCATGTGTGTTCACTTGGAACAGAATGAAACGCGTGTCCAACTTGGACACACATGCGTACACGTGGAACAAACATGTGTTCACCTGGAACAGAATGAAACGCGTGTCCAAGTCAGACACACATGTGTGTACACGTGGAACACACATGTGTTCACCTGGAACACAAACACGTGCAATTAAAGCACCGCTCGTGTCGTAAGTGAACACATATGTGTGTTCCAGGTCTACACACATGTGTGTGTGTGCTTTCCAAGAAGCGCATGCTTGCTTTCCAGCTCAACATTTATGCGTGTGCCGCAGGTGAAAGTATATGTGTGTGTTCACGGGTGCACATCTGCGCGTGCCGCGTGTACTGTTTCAGTCGTGTACATATGTACGTTCCACGTGTACACACGTGTGTGTCTGAATTGGACGTGTCTGAACTGCCCATGTGACTGCGCTTGCGCAGCCACACGTGAGTTCACGTGCACGCGCTCGCCCGCTATCGCACGCGCTTGCCCAACCTCAAGTTCTGGCGCGGTGCTGAAGTGCGAAGCATGCCAGCAACACACATGCAGTAATGCACCGCGTGCCAGGTTCACGACTGCATCACTTTGATTCATCCGTGTTGAAGCGCAGAAAGCCACAAACTGTTGGCATGTTTGCTTGCCCGTGAGTCCTCAAGTGTTTGGGGTCTCTGCTGGTGTATGTTTTTTGGGGGGTCCATCAGCCTATGTGGGACCCGCGGCACGTCTGCTCAGATAGACACGCCGCTGATGGAAGCTGGCGTGACGAGCACCATGGCAGTGGGGTCGAGGCCTCAGAAGCCGGGCAGTGGGGTCGAGGCCTCAGAAGCCGGGTCGAGCGCCCAGCCGACGCCTATTGAGTTGGTCACTTCAAGCATGTTTGTGTAAATTGCTTCATCACGTTGGGCATGGCAAGGTCCGATTCAGGTTAGCAGTTGGAGCTTGTCAGTTGAGCCCCACACAAACCTTCATAACCATATTGGCGAGACTCAAGTTCAACCTGCTTCAGACTGATTTCTGTGGAGCGGCGCAGATTGTAGGTTTCAAGAGGCTGACGTGTCAGGTTGTCCGACGAGCTGAAGAAGGATCTTCCTGGCATTCGCCTTCCAGCGACCTTGGTGTTTGACTATCCCTCAATTGCAGCCATGACGGAATTGATCCTGGAGGGCGACTGAGGGCATCTCACCATAGCCAGTTAGGCAGGGGCCCGGCGCCCGGTAGGTGTTGTTTCAGTATGGGAGGATCAAGGATTGCATTCACATGGCCATCTGCGGCTGGGTGAAAGTACATGGCATGCTCTAGTCATGCCCTTTGCTCACCCGCATAAAGGGAACTCTTTCACCCTAGTGACATTGGATTTTGTTCAGACGGTGCAATGTCTGGGTGGGAAATGCAATGACCTCTGTCAGGGTGCAAGGTTTTCTGAGGCGCCAGCAAGCGCAGTGCGGATTTGATTTCCGAGTCACGCTGAGGTTGGCCGGTGCCTGCTTAGGCCGCGAGATTTCAGCAAAAGCAACAGGTGTCCTAATACCCACCTATGCATGCCCACGCGTATCCATGTATGTGTAAATATCCACTTATATGTGCATACATACTGTATACATGTTGCATTCACGGACGAACACCCGTATGGTAAAACAAGTAAGTACATTGTATAGATATATATATATATATACATCATGCCCATGTAGGTAACCAGGTTGCCAATGTTGAGATGCAGGTTCATGTTGTGGTGATGGTCAGCTTCCGGCCGTGTTCTATCAAGACGACAGCTTTAGGCATCAGACTTGGACGATCCGACGACCCATGCGACTGCACAAAAGCGCGCCATATGATCGAGGATGCAGGTTGTCGGATGGGGCAGTTAATTTGAAGGATTTGTTGGCAAATATGCTGCTCTGCCACGTTGCGAGAATGCAAGACATACTTCTATAGTTGTCTTGTGTATTGTGCAATGCTTGTGTGACATCGGCCAGGCTTCCTGGCATGCTGACTGATGCTTTTGCAGGGTGTTTGTTTGGAGCTGCCTTCTGTTTGGAATCCATGCTTGCTGTATGAAACAGGTTTCTTTTCGCTAGACCGGGGCCCCTTTGGGCCGCTTTTAGGTTGAACGGATCGGCCACCGATTCGGGATTCGGGCCGGGCAGGGCTCCGAAGCGTTGGGCTCCGAAGCGCCCAAACTGCCAAACTGCCAAACTGAAGGGACGAAGGATTCTCCGATCCCGCGAGGCGCTGGAGACGCTCTGCGCGTTTCTGGACACCTTGGGCGCCACCTTCGACAAGCCCCAGTGGTCCGGGCACTCGCGCCTCGAGGAGGTCTTCCAAAAGGCGCGCCTCTTGCTGGACTCGAGCCACGGTTTTGGGACATTTTGGGACGTGCTTGTTGAGGGCCAATTCACTCAATAATGGGTTGGACAAGTGCCACTCAATGTTCAGATTATATGGGGTTATCCTCCTTTCCGCTAGCATAGACTGAGTACCTGTGTGGGGCGCGTGGGAATTTCATGAGTATGTGAACTTGGGTCTGGGCGCTGTGTTCTTTAATCCTCTTTGTCCGAGCTTCAGTACTTCATCCTCACTGGTTTGGGGTCCGAGCGCCCAAAAACCGGTTCCCATTGGCCATCCAAGCAGGGCCCACGTAAATCTTTAGAACCACCCGGTAGAACCAACTGTAAGTGGGTTTTGTGCTTTGCTCACTTGGGGAAGGTCACAAGCAACACATTGCCCATGTTGCTGACTTGACAGAAGGGTGGTTTCAAGCGGCGGTTCAGCAGGTTCAGCTGCTGGCGGAGGACAAAACGGAGAGCGCTCGCATCCGCTGCCTGCTGAAGGAGCCGAATCAGCTGGGGTGGCCAACTTGTGCGCAGGGGTTCGGTAATAGAAACCCTCCCCCGAAGGAGCCCACCCCCCGGGGTTTTGCTGTGAGGCTGCACTTTGGCCTCGGAAAGGTTTGTAAGGCTTGTGAGGTTTGCAAGGTTTAGGGGGGCAACCTGTTACCATGGCTTTGGAGGGGAGGGCATCGCAGTGTGCACATTCCAGGGCGCGTTTGCGAATCGACGGATGTCAGCCTTGCCGGTCTTGAGTCTCAAGCATCGGCCCGTCCATCCGCCAGCCCCGTGCATGTTTCGCCATGGGGACCGGTGCTTCTGTCCCTGCAGCCGACCTGACGCAAAAGGAGAAGGCTTTCCTACATGATACGGTTGAAGTGGCCGTGGCACAGGGCATGGAACAGATCCGAAAGAGGCGGCAGTGGCAAGCCATGGGCGAGGAGCTCTTGTCAAAGTTGCGACACAGAGTGCACAATGGGGAGGAGGTGGGTGTTTTCTAAAACTGGGGACCCCTCCTTTCAGCTTCCTTTGAAACTCGTAGGGGATCCCTAAGCTGCCCACTTGAGACAGGTCTTGCTGTGGATCAGCATGGGTGTGGATTCGTGGCCCATCGCGGTGAAGGCGGCCAGATACGGAGTGCTGCCATTGGTGTACTCGGCGGAGGATCGAAAGCTTGCGGGAAATGAGGTCGAAAGCGTGTGGCTGGTTTTGTTCACCCAGAGCCTGGCTACGCTTTGGGAGAATCGAAAGGGTTTGTTCAGCAATGGGTTATTAACATGTGGGTAAATACCTCCTTTTTCTGATTTCAGGGGTAGATATCACAAGAAGTGGGTATTTGGGGTTTTAGGTTGCCCTTTCAGTGACACCAAGCGACCCCACAAGGGTCATGTTTATTCTCTTCACCCACCTTTCTCTTTGGAACAATATATTTTCTGCGAGGCTGATCCCCGAAGATAATGAAGAAGGTACGCCTAGAACCATACTGAGGAGCAGCATTCTTTGGAAGACATCGTCAAGGCCTTGACCAACGCCAAGGTCCCGCATGGCTCTTTGCAGAATGTTGGATGGCTTTCCCACGACTCCGAGATGACCGGGGAGCATAAGGCTGCTTAAAGCAGTTCCACGGTTTTCGGTTGCCATTGTTTGCTGTTCTTTCGAGGGATCATTGACCGCAACATGTGTTCAGCATGGCCTGTTGAGCACAACCTTGAACAACTATTTCTTTGGAAACTGCCTGTTAAACCATTGTCCCTTCGAACAAAGAGGGTGCCCATAAACCGCTGCATACATGCATGCATGCATGCATACACACATACATACACACACACACTCATACATACATACATACATACATACATACATACATACATACATACATACATACATACATACATACATACATACATACATACATACATACATACATACATACATACATACATACATACATACATACATACATACATACATACATACATACACACACCCACATACATACATACATACATACATACATACATACATACATACATACATACATACATACATACATACATTACATACATACATACATACATACATACATACATAGCATACATACATACATACATACATACATACATACATACATACATACATACATACATACATACACACACACATACATACATACATACATACATACATAAATACATACGTACGTACGTACGTACGTACGTACATGGTTACATGCATGCATACATGGATGCATACATACATACAGACATACGTACATCACAATACCTTACAATACTTTGCACTGCTTACGTTTCATTGCATTCCATTAGTGCCATGCATGACATTGCATTGCATCACGTTACTTTGCATTGCATTGCATTGCATTGCGTGGCAGGACACCAAATTGCTGCACCATACGTTAGCATACATTGCCATGCATTGCATTAGCTACATGCATGCATGCAGGCATGTGTTTGCTTTTTGTTTGGAAACCTCGAGGTTTTGCTTTGGTGCCCAAGGCCAGCAACTTGGACTTCCTGGGCGCGCTGAAGCCATTTCTGGCGGAGCACGCCCGGGTGGATGTCCTCGGCTGCGAGATGGTGGGGGAGACTGGCATGCAGGCGGGAGACTGGCCGGAAGTCGATTCCCAGGTCCCGCTCGCGCTCTAGTTTTTGACCCCAAAGCCTCTTGCCCAAAATCGGAGTCAGAATCTAACCCAAGTTTGTCAAACACCATGTTTCTCAAAATAAGGATCTGTCCCCCCAGCAATGGCAACCAAAAGAGGGCCCACCATTTTTGCTGGGCCTCGTAAAACCAGTACCCCCCCCAATCAAATCAGTGAGGAGTTCAATCATCCTTCGGTTTCCAGTTTAAAGGGGCGGGAGGTTGTTTAAAGAGTAGCTTAATTGCCGATATGTGCCACCCTTTCCGAGGTCATTCACGAGCTGAAGATTGAGTCCGGGCTTAACTTGGCAGCATCCACCGACCTCACCGCGGAGTCAGGCGGCGCAGAAAAGGACTTCTTGATGTTTCTAGACATAGGGCAGCGGAAAATGAGCGCTTTTCGCCTCACCCCCTTACAACCCCCAAAGAAAAACCCTAACAAAAGACAACAATTGAGTCTGCCCGCCACCATGCGTGGCTTGCCCTGCACTTTCCCTGAACATTGCCAAGCCAGGTATCTTCAAAAGAAGCATGCTTTTTTGGGACTCTGTGCGACCACCTTTAGGGAAATCAACAGGAGGAGCAATGGTCCCAAATGGCACTAGATCCTTTCCTGTTGTGAGGTGGCAACTGGTTGTTGGAGACCGATGACAGGGTAAACGTCAAGGACCAGGGTTGGGCGATACCCGAGAAGCCATCGTTTTAGCGCCTATGCGTGCGTTTCAAAATTGTGAGCCCCTTTTGGTTGGTATTCAAAAGGAAGCCAAAAGGAAACCAATGCCATTCTGGGGGACTTTGGTTCCCCATGAAGGGGGGGGCTGGTGGATTTCTCCCCCGCACCGCCCAAGGTTCTCCCACAGCTTGATTCTGTCGAGGACCTCTACTTCACTGAGGCCATCGCTGAGTTCAGCGAGGTGTTGCTGGGCTATGCCATGCACAGCAAGATGCTCAGGAAGGTCAGGGGCATGAAGTAGCATTCGGGCCGTGTCGGGGCTCGAAGGAGACCACCTTCAACGGCTTTAAATGCTTCTTGAACCAGCTCCACCTGTGGGAGACAAAAGGGAAGCCACCGTTTGAAGCGGGGCCCAGTTTTCAGGAACACCCGTGTAGCATAGTGCGGCATTTTCCTCGTGCGTAGTACGAGGATGTTTCTCACTCGCCTGCACACAGTGCAGCAAAATGCGCTACTGGCCATGAGAGAAAAACCTTCGCCTGCGCAACTCGTATCCTGCCAGAGGCCCCTGTTTTAGACAATTCTCCAACAAGGACATTCTTTTAGGCGCCATGATTTTGGGAGGGTTACGAGCCTGGCTATGAAATTTATAGGGCCCCCCTGCCTTGAAACGGCCGGCGTTACCTCGAGCGTGGCATGCAACGCCAGCAGCTACAGTTTGGCAGCAAGGTAAGGATAGGTGGGGCTGGTCTTGAAGTGGTTCTGGAGCGCCTCCAAGTCGTTTTTCTTTTTTATTTTGGGGGAGGGGTGATGAGGGGTGCGTTGCGGTTTCCCGAGAGAGAACCGATCCTGAAGGCAAGGAGCACCAGGTACCCGGAAAAGGATACCGGGTCGTCCACACAGAATTCGCGCGGGTGGTCGCATGATTCCCAACGAGCCCCCCAAAGAAAAGAGTGCTTGAGCTCTTGGGCCGTTTCAAACAAAAAAGAGGGCAGTCCAAAAGGTTGGCTTTCGGGACATGCGTTGCTGCTGTTTGCTTCTGAGCTTTGCTGGAGCACGTCACTTCTGCGTGACAGGCGCAGCGCTTCAGAGCTTTCAGGCTTTTAGTTGCAGGCGCAGCACTTGAGCTATTCGTGCGGATTCCGTGGCAAGCGCAGTCCTGTGGAGCAAGTCTACTCGAGCGCAGATGTGCGTGACAGGCGCAGTACTTTGGAGGGCCACGTGACAGGCGAAGCACTTCAGGAGCGTTGATAGATACAAAGATCGAAAGATAGATGGCAGGGATAGATCAGATAGATACATAGGTAGATGGATAGGCTAGATTAGATTGACAGGCGCAAAAGCTAGATAGATAGCATAGGTTGGTCGGTTGGTAGATAGACAGGTAGATGGATTAGGCACCCATGGATGGATACGCAGGCTGATGGGCAATTTCGTGATGCCCCGTACGCTTTTTCATGACGCAACGATACGCACCGTCTTCCACGGCAGCCGTTCCTGCGTCGCGATGGATTATGCCCCTGCCATCATCATGCTTCTTGAATGCGCGTCATACCACGCGGACAACGCGTGTCGCTGCAGTTTTTGCTTTCCAGTTTTCAAAGTTTTTTCCTGAGAAGTTTGCGCGGGATGTGCATGAATGGGGTGTGATGCTCTTTTGGCTTGGCAACACCAGGGTTCGGGGCGTGTCTATTTTGAAGGGAACGCTTCAAACAGGCGGTTTTCCATGTCGGTTTCCAGGTGCGACGTAAACAGGCCACAGGGGTACCCTCGAAAAGACGCTTGCATTTCTGAAAGTAAGTCCACATGGTAGTTTTCGTTTTGGCTTCCCTCCTCCGACTTGCTTAAGTGAATCCTAGGTTCAGTCTGTACGGCGTTGACAGGATCTGCTGGACAAACGGCGGCAGGGATGGCAGGAAAAGCCACCCATCGAGAGCCCCAAGATTGTGGCCAGTCCGAAGGTGGAAAAAAAAGCCGCTTGGCGCACGTGGAGACGCCCAAAGGTTCGACCTGTTGCCCAAAATACGGCTCAAATAGGGCCTCAAGACCCTATCGTGGAGATTTAGGGGGGTTGGGGTCTGTGTTTAGTTGCAAGGTGTACTTTAGTCTGCTTGCCGGCTACATCCCCGCGTGCATCAAGCATGGGCTTGCTTCATTCATTTTAATGATTGACAAAGCCTGCGGACTAAGGTGGATTCGAAGAGTGTGAGGCTGGGCGTGCTCTGTTCCAGCTGTGTTTCCACAATCTTTCAACGAAGTGCTACAATGGATGCCTTGAATATTGCAAGTGAGGAACACCTTTTTTTCCAACTTACAATGGTTCATGGTGGCGTGTTGTTGGCTTCAGAGCATTCGAGGTTTCCAGCTTCCGTAGCCCCGTAAGTTTTGAGTGCGGGCGGCCCTGGAGGCCCCAGTTTTTGCTGTTTTTTAAGTGTTTTTATCGTGTTTTTCTCTCCTGAGAGAGCAGCATCGCGCGCGTGTTCCCTCGTGCTGAAGACAATGCCAGTACTTCGTTTAGTTGCCAATTCTATCTTGAGTCTTGCCCAAAACTTTCTCTCAGATTCCTAGTGTTGAATCTAATATTGCTAATTCCAAATTGAGCATTGCCAAACTTACATTCAGATTCCCAGTACTTAATCTATTATGGCCAATTCTAAATGTAGTATTGTCAAGACTTGCTCGCAGGTTCCAAGTGCTTATGTTAGTAGTGCCAATCATAAAGTGAATGTTGCGCGAATGTTGCCGAGACTTACTCTCGTATTCCAAGTACCTCATTTAGCATTGCCAAATCTAAACTGAGCATTGCCAAGACTCGCACTCAGATCCCAGTACTAATTTTAGTATTGCCAATTCCAAAATGAAAATAGCCAAGCCTTACTCTTACTTTCAGATTCCCAGTGCTTAATTTTGTATATATTCAGAATTTTAGATTCAGTACTGCCAGATTCCCACCAGTGCTTATTTGATTTTTGTAAATTCTAAATCGAATATTGCTAAGGCTTACTCTCAAAGTTGCAGAATCCCAGTACTTACTTTAGTACTGCCACTTCAAAATTTTGTATTGCCACGACTTACTCTAGGATTCCCAGCGCTTGATTCAGCATTGCCAATTCCAAATTTAGTATTGCCAATTGCAACTTGAACATTGCCAAGCCTTACGTCGCCTCCGTCGGACCGTTCTGCAATGCTTCGAGAGCAATCTAGGTCACTTTCAGATTCCCTGTGCTGAATTTAGCTTATATTAAATATTCTAGATTTAGTATTGCTAAGACTTCTTCTCAGATTCCCAGTGCTTAATTTAGTATTGCAAAGACTTACTTTTAGTTTCCAAGTGCTAAACTTAGTATTGCCAAATCTAAATTTAGTTTTGCCAAAACTTACTCTCAGAATCCAGGTACTTGAATTAGTCTTATCTTAGTTGAGAATTGACAAGCCTTACACTGCACTCAGATTCCCAGTGCTTCATCTAGTCTTGCCAGTTCTAAATGTAGCATTGCCAAGACTTGGTCTCAGATTCCCATTACTTAATTTAATAGTGCCAACTATAAATTTAGTATTGCCAAGACTTACTTTTGCATTCAAAGTACTTCATTTAGGAGTGCCAACTTTGAATTGAGCAGTGCCAAGACTTACACTCAGGCTCCCAGTGCTTGATTTAGTATTGCCAATTCTAAATTTAGTATTGCCAGTTCCAAATTGAACATTGCCAAGCCTTACTTTCAGATTCCCTGTACTGAATTTAGTATGTGTTGACAATTCTCGATTTAGTATTGCCAAGACTTCCTCTCAGATTCGCAGTGCTTAATGCAAATATTGCCAATTCTAAACTGAATATCCCAGTACTTAATTCAGTATTGCAAATTCAACATTAAGTTGACAGGACATACTCTCAGGAAGCTAGATAAGCACATTCTTGGGAGGGAGGGAGAGAGGGAGCGTTTGTTTCCACCTCCTTTGACATCTCAAGACAGAATTACAGAAGATGAGGGAATCTTTGAAGCAAGTGTTTGATCAAAGGTTTATGTGAAAATCCTAGTACTGCAAAGAAGCCAGAGAAGCTAGACAAGCTAGATTTGCAGATGGTTGGGGGGGCAGGGGGGGGGGGGGGGGGCGATTTGTTTGTTTTTTTTTTGGTTTTTTTCCGGCCCCCCCCCCTCCTCGTGTTGACACGGTCCAAACAGAGTTACAGAAGATGCAGGAATCTGTAAAGCAAGTGTTTGATCGAAGATCTTCGTAAGAACCCTTCATGGAAATGAATGCAAACCAATCAAGACAGACACACACCACAAAATAGCTCCATCTCAAAAACAGCAAAAACAGGGGCCCTCCTAGCTGCCCTTTCCGTAAGTTTTCGCAAGCGGAAGTTGGGGTGCCGCTGGGGAAGGCTCAGAAATGTGCGACTTGTCTGACTTGCAAGATGTTGTTTTCGTCGCGCGCGTGAGCAAGCTGTTGTTTGCGAGGCTGTGTGCCTTTTGGAAGAGAGGCGCTTTTGTGTCGCCCTGCCATTGCGATTTGAGGCGTCTTCCTTGGAAGGCGAGTGATTGCGCGATTATCATGTTCGTCGCCCCTCTCGCGCAATTGGCTTGGTTGGGCGAGCTTAAAGTTTGTCAAAACCGGTCGAAACCCCACTGGCGCTGCAGCCCCGTGCGAGTTTGCGTCAAAGTTGGATTTCGTGACAGGCGCAGTCCTTTGAGTGAAGCTCGCTTGTCGTTACAGGCTTTGTAGCGGATGCCCGCGGCAAGCGCAGTACTTTGGAGCATGTCGCAGGCGCAGGAGGGTGTGGCAGGCGCAGCGCTTTGGCGCGCGTGCTGTTGATTTCGTTGGCAGGCTGAGTACTTTGAAGGGTCGCGCGTTGATCTTCGGCAGGCGCTTGTGGGCTTGAATGTCAAGCGCAATAATCTGGAGCGTAGATAGAAAGGCAGACAGATAGAGAGGTGCGTAGAGGCGCGCAGACAAATAGACAGGTTGGATAGGTTCTAAGCGCGCTGAAAGATACGGCGCGGGTTGGTTGATGCGGTTGGTTGGCCAGACAACTCATCCAGCGTGATAGCAAGACAGAAAGAAGGAAGGAAAGAGGGAAAGAAACAGATGAGCGAAAGAAGAAAGAAGAAAAGAAAGAAAGAAGGAAAGAACGGACGAAAGCAAGAACAAACGAAAGACACAAAGATCCAGGGAAGAGGAAAGAAAGAAAAGAAAAGACAAGAAAAAAACAAAGAAAAGAAAATAACAGAACAAATCAAAGAAAAGAAAAAGAAAAGAAAAGAAAAGAAAAGAAGAGAGAGAGAGAGAGAGAGAAAGAAAGAAAGAAAAGAAAGAAAGAAAGAAAGAAAGAAATAAATAAGGAAAGAAGGAAAGGAAAGAAGGAAAGAACATAATGAACGAACAAACAAACGAAAGAAAGACAGAAGGAAAGACAGACAGACAGACAGAAAGAAAGAAATAAAGAAAGAAAAGAAAGAAAGAATGGAGGAAAGAAATGAAAAGAAAAGACAAGAAACGGAAAGAACATAATGAACAGATAAATAAA